ATGTGTCATGGTGGAACACTGAGGCTTCAAAAGCTTCCTGACACCCCCAGGGCACTCTTTGCCTCCTGCTTGTGGCTTTGAAACGTGAGCTCTCAGCTGTTCCTGCCCTATGCCCTTTCTTTGCCACCATGGGCTCTAATGAGAACTGTAAGCCCAGTTAAACACTCTCCCCCACCCCTTTTTATCCATATATCTTGCAAGTGTTGCAAAGAGTCATTGGTCTGGTTCAAGACCTCTGGTTCCTGCTACATTATCAATGCTGGGCCCTCAGTGGGATTCCTCTTGGATATCCTGATGTTGCCATGTTAACGCGGTTAAATAAGGATTAGGATAAACAAATAGGCCGAATAGATGTTTATTCAGGGAGAAATAACTTACAACCTAGACAGATGAACACCAGGAAATTCAACCCGATCCTCTCCTGTCCGAGTCACACCAGCAAGAGGGCCTTTCCTGGCTCTCCCTCCAACCTCCTTCCACAGGTCACTCCGCCCATGGCTCCACCCCCAATGGGCGTGGTCAGTGCCACAGAACTATCTCACTACACCATGTGTCATAGAGATCCTGTAGCTCTGGGTCTGCAGGACTGGCCATTTCGTGTGCCCCCACAGGTCATAGATGGGGTGAATGTTGGGGTGGATCAACTCATAACCCTAGTTGAAGGCCTGAGTAGTTGCAGGGTTGGTCAGCCAGCCAGTCGTCCCGCCCCAATCCCATTCCTTACCACCAGGGGGAGCTCTCCAGCATTGCCCCTGCTAATTCACCCCTTGTAGCAATGAGCATGGGGCAGGGCCAGTCCCCCTGCTTTCACACCCTCAGGATCAGCTCTCCCACACCTACACCATCAGGACCAGCTCTACTATGTTGCCCAGGTGAGGTGTAGGAGCCACTCTCCTGAGTGCTGCAGCTGGTGAGGGGCAGAGGCATCTCTCCCACCCTTAGGACCTCAGGGCCAGCTCTCCTACCTGCCATAGGCATGGAGGGGGGAGGGGAGGAGAGGGCATTTCTTCCCCTCCCCACCCCACACACCACCATATGGCTCACCTGCACACACATCCTACCCCTCCACCCCACTCCACAACACATGCAAACACCACATCCAGACCAGTAACATCCCACACAGCTCTGCTGTGCTATCCAGAGGAGGTGCAGGGCCGGCTTTCCAGAGTGTCGTAGCTGGTAAACAGGAGGGGCAGCTCCCTCACCAGCTGGAGGCAATAGGGGCAAGAGGGGAGGGCATCTTTCCCTTGCCCCCACCACCACTCCACAGATGAGGGAGATGGTACCAGCTGTGCCCTTGCCATGCCCTCAAGGCGAGCTCACTGGTGCCCCTGTGTACAGGGCCAACTCTACTGCCCTGCCCAGGCCAGGTGCAAGGCCTGTTCTCCTCAGTGCTGCAGCTGGGGAGGATTTGAGTCAGGTGTCAAGGGCCGAGGGGAAGACACATCTTTCCCTCACCCAGGCCACCACATGGCAGATGAGAGGGGCACGACCTGGTCTTCTGTTTACACACCCTCAGGGCCAGCTCACCCATGCCCCTGAGAACAGGGTCAGCTCTATTATACTGTCCAGGTAAGTTGTAGGACCCTCTCTCCTGAGTGCTTCAGCAGGTGAAGGATGGGACCAGTTCTCCCTAGTGTTGTAGCCACTGAGGGGCGGAGCCAACTCTGTACAGCCCTATCCTCCCAGCCTTCTTGATATCGGGAGTCACAGACAAACTATGATTGACCGCATCGGGGCCATGAATCCAAACATGGGCCCCTGCAGCAACCCAGGCCCAGACATCACCCACCTCAGCCCGCTCCTCACTGCTTTCACCTCTTCAGAAATCCCTTGTCCACAGGACATGAACCATTCTGTCTCTCTCTCCCATGCCACCCCCATACATTTGCTCACCATAATAGTGTCCATCTGCTCCGCACCACAAGGCACCAGGCAGGCTGTGTTTCCTCCTCAGAGCCCTGGGCAATTTGCCTGTGGGTCTCCTTGTCCCACTCAGTCCATCATAGTGCTGGGCAGGACCATGCTTCCTCCTTGGAGCCAGGGGCGGTCTGCCCAGCACTTGCTTTTGTAAGTTGCCTTGGTCAGAGTATTTTTATCACAGCAATAAAAAAGTGACTAATACAGAGGTTGGTACCAAGGATTTGACTATTGCTGTGACAGAGCTGACATGTCAGTTTTGGATAGATATAGAAGATACTGGGACTATCCACTACAAGCAGTGGAGTGATCAGATTCGAAAAGTAATCCCCTGGCAGAAGGTGTCTCCTGGACTATTGTGTGCGGTTTCTCTGGTGCCTTCTGCATGATCCTTCTGACCCTCAGCTTCATGCACTACCAAAAACTGCACTGTGGACCACCATCATGACCATTCTGAAGGTTTAGCGTGGTTCAGTGCATCTTAGTATGGACAAGTGTGAGTCTCACCTGTCAATTTTTAGTCCCTTTCAATAAGTATTCATTGAGCCCACCTTATAGGTCCTTGTTACATGTATGCTGTCCAGAGCCTTCCATGGCAGGGGTCATCTGGGAGATATTCAGAATGTAGATGTTTAGGCTGAGTGCTGGAGCTTCTGCAACACAGCCTGTATCTATGAATGTTAAAGCTGGGAGTCCATCACATGAGTAACACAGGGAAGGAGAGAGAGCACCCATTTAGAAGTTCACATCCTAATTGGGAAGATAACAACTGATGGACATGAAACAAAGGGGCAGAATACGCTTATCCATCACCAAGCATGTTCAGATGGGAAATGGGTATTAAGAGCCAAGACTAAGCCATTCCTCAGCCTTGTACAATCACTAAGACTCTCAATGCCATCATCTACAAAATGGGGAGATGTTTCCTGTCTACCTTACAGGATTGCCCTACTGATCAAAGCAAAATATGGGAAAGTACAATGCCACAATGTTTAATGATACCTACTCTGAATGCTGGAAAAACTCAGAGATGAGAGAGCTCAGGGCATTTGGAATAGTGTTGAAAGATTCAGCCAAGAGGGTCAGGGAGGCTGGAAGTGTGGAGCCAGGCACTAGAGGAAAACAAGATGGAAAAATCTGCACTTTGACCAGCCCCCAGACCTGAGCCCAGGGAGCACCCACTGACCAGCACCCGCCAGCAGCCTCCTGACAGCCTGCAGAATGTCAGCACCACAGGTCTCAGAGACAGTGTCAATGAGTGATTTGCAAAGGACACAAAGCCAGCAGATGCGGTCTGCCTGGTGTAGCTGGCAAGAAGCCCAGTTGTTACAAATCATCACTGTGGTTCAAGGTACAGGGGAAATGACATTCTGTCATTTTGCAGGGCTGACCTGTGGGCATGCCCAGACACTGCAAGCAAAGAATGGGAGATGTAGGAAATCAACAGGTGAGTTCATGGGCCACAGTTCTGGAAAATTCTTGAAAGCCTTTTTATGTACTAGATTGTGTTTTCATTTGTCCTGTACTCATGTCAGGAAGAGGCTATTGCTTTCTCATAAATAAGAAAACAAAACAAAACTTGCAGACATAGGATTTGAACCCAGATTGTTCTACAGTCACTGAGTTTCTGGTCTGCCCTGAGCAGTAGGAACAATGTGGTTGGACTTTTGTTGTGAAACCCGTTCTCTGACTCACTGATGTCTGCCATGCTTGTCCTGAGCTTCTCCAGAGAAATGCCGTCTTCTGGCAGGAAAAGATAAAAGCGGCTGATACAAGTGAGTCACCACACTCGCTATAATTAACAGTGATGCAAGAGCCAGATGCAGATGAAGAGGGGCCTCCAGACCCCGCTTTTAGGCCATCCTGACTTTGAGCTGCAAAGAGTCTCTGATGCTAAGCTCCTTTGTGCTCAAGATCCTTCTAAATGAAGAAGTGAAACCTGGAATGCGTGCAAGATCTAAGATAATGGAGCTGAGAGAGGCTGAACAAATGCATGTCCTAACACTGAAAACTATCCAGCAGAATCAGAAAGAGTGTAGCTCTTTGCTTTCACACTCAGCTGCCCTGGGGAGTCTAAGCAGTTTTCCACCTGCTGAGATGGATCATAGCAGCTTCAGTTGTAAATTCAGTTGGACTAGATGTCCAGCTTCTGCCTCCTGATCCTGGGAAGGTATCAGTGAACTTTTCAAAAAGGCTAGACATCAATAGGGCCTCTGTATTCTCTTCTGTTGGTCTGGACACAATACAGTGACGATTTGATTAAAATAAGTCTTGAATCACAAAACCCACCACCTCATGAGCAAGCCATCCAACCATCCCACAAGGGCAATCTCTTCATGGTGCAGGGTAAAGGTGGCCCCTGCTACTCTGAAAACAGATCATTCTCAAAGCCCAACAGAAAGAAGTCAACTGTGGTCAGGGGTCTGGATGGCCCATTACTGGTAGCTATCAGTGTCAATTACAAATTACCTGTTTAAAAGAGGTTCAACTGGCCTTGAGATTCGAACACAAGACAACCAATAGACTCCTGCATTTTCTTTTTGAATAGACTTTAATTGACAGCCAAGTGAAAAAAATGCAGGTTACATTTTTAGTATTATCATCAGTACACTGTAAGATTGACATCCACACAGTGATGTATCTAATATCCATACACCTCCTAATTGTAGTTGACGAAGAGCACATCATATATACATATATATTTACACAGAATTTCGAGCAACAGTAAATAATAAACCCCCTCCCTTCAAAAAACAACAACACACACACCTTTAAACAATGGATTTCCTCACAATAATATATCTTTTTAACCCCCCCCCCACATACTTGCAAAGTCAAAGACACTTAAGTTACTTAAGAACAGTCTTACCGGTGAAGATCTTGGACCAGCCCCTAGTTTCTTTTAAGTCATTTTAATTTTTACAACTTGAAGCCACATAGCCAGTGTGGTCTTTACACTCTAAAGACACTCCAGATGATGGAAATGAATTCTCCCACTTCCTTTGTATGAAAAGGAAAGCATATCTCTGAAGATGTACCTAGTTACAACTAAAAATTAAGTCCAAAACATTTTTTTGTAAAAAAAAAAAAAAAAATCTGCTCTTCAAACATTATTTCTTAGCACGGTGCTAATGTTAACAATGAATAGCTGAACAGGAAGGCTCCTTCAGGTTTCTATTCAGAGGTTCTGGTTAGTTCTAATCCACTATTCGGTTATTTAAAACCTATGAGCTTTAAAAGTCGCCTGGCAGAATTACTTCCTGCCTTCCAGGATTCCAGGTTTGCAGACTGACCTCTCGAATTGTGGGCGATATTTGCCCCTGGTGCCTTGCCCTCTGATTTATTTATTTCTAGGGCTGTTAGTAAATGGGAACCATGACAAAGTTTACATTAGCAGACACATACACATGCCCTGGCCTATAAATATCCCATGATGGAAAATGGAACAGTCACTCCAATCCTGGTGAAAATGCTCGTAAAGGAGAAGAGGGAGGTAGGGGGACATTAGCAACAATGGATCTTCTAACAGTGGAAAACTCAGACCAAATGGCCACCTGCTTTCAAAAAGACATCTTGAGCCACTTTTTCAGGCCTGTGAGTTAGCCAAGAGTAGGAGGAGCACAGACTCCTTCCAGCAAACCTGATAGGATATAGCCAAACACGTGTGCTGTTTTGGCAGTTAGATGACGATCCACCAGCAAGTCGTTTTGTAGGTGAGTAGGGAGGGATTTCAAAATCAGATTTGGAAGCAGTTTGCACACTGTCCTGCCTGGGATGCTGAATTGTCCCCCGGTCGGACCCCTCAAAGCGCCAGCTGGAGTTTGGTCATGTTTCTCTGGTGCATGTTGTGATGGCGGACTAATTCGTCTGACCGAGCAAACTTTTTCTGACAACTGTGCCACCGACAGCTGAAGGGCTTTTCACCTGTTGACACAATTGCCAATTAGAGACACTTGCAGCAGAGTGCCCGGGCACAGGTTCAACTATCAAAGGCCCGAGCTAAATCACCACAAGACACCCGCCCTGGACTCCCCTGGGTCATTGCCTAAGCTAACCAACTGGCTCTTCACTGATAGCCTGGGATTAGCAATGCCTTTTGAGGGCTTGAAAAAAGTAGCACTGCAAGCATAATAAAGGGGAAAACTTGGAAAATGATAGAAAAATCTAGTCTGTGGAAATCTCTAAGCAACTCATAAATTAAAGGGGGAACTTTGTTTCATCTCTAAGGACACTCTGTGACCTGTGCAAATGTTTCTCTGTTGCTGTCTAGGTGGGAGCTGGCTGCAAGGGTCAGAACCATCACCCTGGATACTGTTGATTGATGGCTGCTCTGGACCCTAGAAATCATTGATTGATGACTGGTCGTCAATAGATCTAGGACGGAAGCTTTACTATCTCCACATAGATGATTTAAAATAAATCATGGATACCATTTTGTATCCTATTTGCTTCTTTTTAGTGCAAAAGATAACTCAGAACCAGGCTGTTAGAGAGGAGATTCTAATTGCAACACCAGTTCTGCCAAATGATTAAGACACCTCCATCTCAGGCTCTCTTGTTCTCATTAAAGACAATAGATTGGCATCCCTTTATAGATGTATGTTCATTGCCTTGTGTTTATCTTAAAACAGCCTCACAAAGAAATGCTATCTTCACTCTACAGATGAGGTTGCATGGCTGTTGCAGACAGAGCCAAACAGGATTCAAACCCGGGCATGTCTAATCTGAAGGTTACACTCATCCCTATATCCCACCCCTGAGGGCTTGCTGAGGAAAATGCCAGAGGGGCTAAGCCCTGTGCCACCTGGAGGGTCTTCCCCGGATATTGATAGTTCCGCTGAGAAATGTCCCAAGAGATGTTTTGAGGCCAGACTCGGTGGCTGATCAAATATGGCATCAAGTAGTTTGTTGGTGGCACAGGTTTGCAGGCAATGAGGGGACAATCTCCAGACTATGAGCTTGGGACTAAAAGAAAATATGCCAAAAATACCCAAAGGAGACTAAGACTTGTATCTCGCCAATACTGGGGCCCGGTGCTGTGATGCTATCCTAAGGTATAACCCGTCTGTGCTGAGGACGGGAATGTCCCAGGAACCTTACAATGCCATGGCCTCCTCACCCCCTTCCCACTGTCCGTCTGCTTTTCCTGATCTGGTTCCTGCCTGCCACTCTCACCTCCTCATGGGCACTTTTCAGCTCTTAATCATATTGGTCCCCTCAGTGGCACCTAGCTTGGCTATTATTCTGTCTCTCTCCTCAGTTCCCTGGCTTCTCGGGATGCCTATCTGAACACATGTTCTTTCTCCAAGAGAAAGAACGATAGGGATGAGGTGGGGCCAGAACAGTCACCACTGAGATTGTTATCCAGTTGTTTTGTGGCTCTGGGTAAATCATTTAATCACTCCCCATCATAGGCTCATGATTAAATGAGGATTAAATGCCTCCCTACTCCAATTCGGAGGATGCTGGAAAGATGAAGAGCTAACCTAGTTGACCATTCTGCTTCCTAAGCAAGCACATGTGCCCCAAGGGTGGTGCTGTTTTCACTATGACTCTCATCAGCCTTGTAGACAGTGCTTCAGCAGCCAGTGGCTATCTCAATGGCCCTGTTCTCTCTGTGCTAGTATAAAAGACGTATATCCATGTTAAACTGGACTCCTCGTGCAGCTTTAAGCACACACTCTCCAATCAGGACTGGGAAACATGAGCTCTCAAGAAAATAGAAGAACTTGAACGTCTGATCATGCTGTAGGGCTGACTGCTCTATCAGTAATATAGTAAACTGGGGATAGTGGGGATGAACTTATCTTCCCGCCTTTGTTCTGAGCCCTCTGGACATTCTCTTCCCATCTCTCTCCTACTCAGTGCTCTTGGACCCTTTCTTTAACAAATGTAATCATTTATCATGTAAAGATAGCTAGACATTCTCTAAATGGAATCACAATTCTAGAATTTTTACATGACTCTCATTACAGTTTCATTCAACAGTAGCTTAAAAAAATAATGAAAAATAAATGTGAAGAAAAGTTTACGCACTTGTTTTACCTGTATGAGTCCTGGTGTGGGTCTTCAGGTGGTCGGACCGGGAAAACTTTCGCTGACAAGTTTTACACTGGAATGGTTTCACACCTAAACGGACAGAGAAGGTCTAGCCTCGGCCCTAACAATGTGGGGCATAGTGAGACACAAAGGCCGGCTTTCTGGACTGTCCATCACATTGGCCAGGTCTGTGTCTACCTGGACCTCAATTTCCTTGTTCCCCAGGCCCAGCAGAAGTCACCTGATTCTGGTCAGCAACCTCCAGGTGCTGCTCCTGACTTGGGAAAAAAAAACATTTCCTAACCACAAACATCCAGTTCTCACTAGCAGACAAGTGTTAAAGAAAGAAGAAAGTGGACCACTGCAAGCTGGCTTCTCTCCATCACCCTGGTTCCTAACTGAGCATCAGTGGATCGCCAGCCTGCTGTGGAATCTCCCTTGTGCTGTGGTTCTCCTAAGAAACATGGGCCATTCCTTTCTTTTCTCTTTCTCCTTTGTAAAGGAAGACTTAACTTTTTATTATTTATGTTTTATGTGTCTCTGTGTGAGTGTATTTCATGTGTTTACAGTGCCCTCAGGGGATGAAGAGAGTGTCAGATCCCCTGGAGTTACGGTTACACACACTGCCTGGTGTGGATGCTCGGAACTGAACCCGAGTCCTCTTGATGAACACGTGCTCTTAGCTGCTGATCCATCATCTCCACAGCCCCTCTCCTTTTCAAAGGACAAGTCTCCAGATGAGGGGAAGAAAGTTGGAAAAATTAAACAGATAGATAGATAGATCACCCTCTCATCCGTGTTCAACAGAGAAGACAGCCACAAAGTCAGCTCTAACCCAAGGGCTTGTGACTGCTGGCAATGAGAAGTTAACCTACAAACCTGTGTGTCTCCTTTGGTGTCTTTTGAGCTGGTCTGAGCGAGAAAACCTTCTCTCGCAGTCCTTGAAGTCACACTGGTATGGTTTCTCACCTTAGGGAAAACATACGTTGTTTTTTAATACAAAGCTGGAAATAGGACCTCATCATAGGCAAGCCCTCCTAAATGCAGATAAAGGGACCCCAAAACTCTCAAAGCATTTCAGGGGAGCATGTTAGGGTAGCGCTATAGACTTACAGGAAGATAAGATCCCACTTACACACATGCCCATGGACACAGGGACGGGGAAAGGAGGATACTCTGGCACAGTTTTCTTGCTCTCAAAGGATTCATGAACAGATTAGAACAGGCCATCCCTGTAGAGGGACAAGACCAGTCCCTAGCACTGAGGCAATGTTCAAAAAATACATATATTAGCAGGGACTATTTAAAGAAGTAAAAAAAGAAAAGTTATGACTTCTTGGTTGAATCTGATATAGAATTTTGGATAGATGTTTCTTGAGGCTGGCCGTGTGAATTAAGTGTTCCATGTTTTACAACCTGAATATTTGGTGTTCTCTGCTACTGACTTCTTGTTCTTGGGTCCAACATAAATGACTCCATGGTGGTGAGACACCTCAATTAAATCAAAAGTGGACACATTTAGCAAGTCTGTTGTCCTTTAATCTGAAATGAGTCAGCAGTAGGATTGTGCAACCATGGACTCAGAGAAGGGCTACACCCCTGCAGCCACAGGAAAAGTTCAGCCAAACTCTGAGAGAAGAGCCCCTTGGAGTGCACTGAGCTTCTGCGAGTGTTCCCACCTCCCGGAATTCTGAGTCACTGGATTCTGGGATAGAGAGCAGGTTACTCTGGGGTCAGTAGATTTTGTCCTTTGATGGACATTTCCAAGTCGCCTTTCCTGCTCAGGACCTCTGATGCTTCCCTGGTCTTTCTATATGTCTGGTGTAGCTGACCTCACCACTCCTGAGCCCTCCTCACTCAATACTCTTCATTTTTATGGCCCCATTCCGACCCATCAAAGTGTTAACCACATAGCCCTCACAGATGCCACTTGCCCTGCAATGCTATCTTACAGTTTGAATATGAATTGTAGCCCACGGGCTCATGCATTTGATGCCTTGGTCTCCGGCTCATAATGTCATTTTGAAAAGTAGTGGAGCCTCCAGGAAGTGTAACCTAACAGGAAAAGGTGGGCGTGGGTCTTGAGGCTTGGGAACTTAATGACCTTCTTTATCCCAGAATTAATTCCAGAACATCTAAGTATGCATTTGAACCTACTCTTCAAAGTTTGTGGTGACTTTGTCCTTCAGTCTCTGGACCACTGATTATATTATCTCAGCTTGTCTTCCCTGCTAAAGATGCTAATAGCCCCTCAGAAATAGCACTACCATTTATTCAGGCCTAGAGACACAGGATCCTATGCTACAATTTGTATAGTATAGTATAATTTGATTCCATTTCCTCTAGGCTTAAGAATTTCTCAGTGTGTCATTATCATCTTCATTGTCCATACAAAGTACTTGGAATTCAAAGGGATGTTGAGAAATTGGCTCAAGGTCTCACCAGCCGGTGATGAATGCAGCTTTCAAACACATGTCATTTTTCTCCTATGGCATTTGCTTTCCACCATCCTGTTCTGCTTTCCTGAAGACTGCTTACTGATTTCATTAATAAAGGATGGGGAACCATCATGCAAACAGCCCTGCAGCTTTGGCCAACCACTGTGGCCTGACCTTTGAAAGTGCCAGCCATCCATCCCACAAGTCAACCTGTATCCTTAGCAGTGTGAGAGTCCAGAATGAGAGTTCATGAACCACCATTACTCCAGTCTGAACAGTGGACACACTTACCAGTGTGCTTCCGGCTGTGCATCTGTAAGTGGGACAGCTTAAAATATCTCTTATTGCAGCCCGGGTAGGCACACATGAAAGGACGTTTCTCACTGGTCTCAGATGCTGACCGGACAAGAGTTGGGGCCACTCCAGACACACGTCGCACATCCTGCAGGCAAATATATAAGAGAAATAGAGGGCTTGTGCCACATGTGAACATTCATGTCAGTCCCATGGGAGACTGAGCACTGAATGGATGACAGATAGGAAATTCTATGATGTGGTGTTCTGATATCATTACTGCTGATCACCAGAACTTGGATTTAAAATGAAGCCTCTTTGGGATCCCCAGCATAGAACCTCTAGAGAAGAAACATTAGTGTCTGGAAAAGTTCCCAATCTATCTCTCACTTGGGACAGCGAGGTCTAGAATCCAGAATTCCAGACTGTATGCATGCCCTCCCAACTGGAGACTTGGCCCAGTGATTATGGACTCAATAAGAAAATGAATGAAAGCCAGTGGTGATGCTATACACCTTTAATCCCAGCACTTTGGAGGCAGAGGCAGGCAGATCTCTGTGTGTTTGAGATCAGCCTGATCTACAAAGCTACACAAGAAACCCTGTCTTGAAAAAAAAAAAAGAGGGAAAATGAGAAAGTTCTTAGTAGAGAAAGACATGAGACACTGAGTGAGGCCCAAACTGACCTGAGCTTCACATGTAAATGGAAGTAGATAAAGAAGTCTCTGGATTTGGGATCTCTGAATCCACCAGAATGCTGTAGTAGAGTCAGTGTGATCTTTAACAGTGACACAGGAAAATAGTGGAAGCTATCTGCATTCTGTGCTCTTTGCATATCTTTCCCACAGCCCCTACTGGCTGCTGCCATCTAGCAGGGGAGGTAAATCTCTTTTCTTGCCCTCAGGCTCAGTGATTCCTGGATAGCAGGAATGATTCACCCTTGTTCAATTACAGATGTGCCCATCAGGACCAAAGAGATGGTCTGCTGACATAAGAACACGTCTATGATGGTATAAAGACCTGGAACAACCACTAAGCCACTGGTTCTCAACATTCTTAATGCTATGACACTTTAATGCAGTTTCTCATGCTGTGGTTACCCTGGGCCATAAAATTATTTTCATTGCTACTTCATAACTACAATTTTGCTACTGTTATGATTCATAATGTAAATATCTGGTATGTAAACCCAAGGGGTCACAATCCACAGGTAGAGAACCGCTGCTCTTAACAACTTCCCATCCCATTCATTGTCTAATCTACCCACACTCACATTCTTGTTCCTAGTTCACTTGCTTTGCCCTGGCAAGGCACTTCCTTCTTTTGTAAGAAAAAGTTCTGTAATGTCATACCATAAATACCGTATTGGTATGTCATCATATGTCAACCATTAATGGTGGTATACAAGTAAATGATAGATCAGTGGTTGGTTTGTCATATTCTACAAGGAGTAAGCAGGGAAACAACATCTAGGAGGAGCGGCATCTACGAAGGGCCCTGACAGTGGATCTGATAAACTGAGTCTGGTGGGAAGGCAGGAACATTGACTGTCTTTCACCTCTTCTCTTCCTAGATGAAGACTCTGTAGGACTAAGACTGAAAAATAGTTGCTACTTCCAGTGTGAAGTCTGGAGAAGGATGCTGAGGATGTCTGTTGTGAGACACTCAGATGAAACCCTGTCACATCTCCACATATCTGTGGCTTATTTTTTACTCATCATGGAAAGGCTCGGGATGACAGAGCACACTGGATTCCATTCAGTGGAGCTCCTTGCCCATATCACATAGGGCCCAGACCTCTTATCAATGTATTTTCAGGATCTTAACCTCCCTTGGAAGAATAGCTATTTCTCTTCGGCAGTCACTGAGCCAGGTTTCTAAGCCAGAGATGTGAGTCCTTGGTAATTGTGGCTCTGACTACCTAAAAGAGGGGTGGGATCTCCCGTGAAAAACCTACATTCTCTGAGATTCTTTGCTCACCCTGGAGACCTCTTCCTCCTGTTTCTTCTAACAAACAATATTATTTAATCTCCTCTAATAAATAATATTAATAAGCAAAATAAAGATTGTCGAGTCTAATAAAATATATATTACACATCTCAGCTCCCACTTACTGGCTATGTTGTTTTAGACAACCCCCATGTCTTCTCTCTTCAGTTTCCCCAACTATAAAATGTCTACCTCTTAAGCTTGCATTGGGCCACATCGGAGAACAAAGACCATGTAATGGAATCATAAACGCACATTAGTAGGTCAAAGACGTTAGCCTGAAAGTGCAATGGAGAAGCCAACATTCTGAGAAAGGGAGAGTGATTGTTAGGAAGAGAGAGGGACTAGAAAAGGGCATGATGTACAGGTGGTGGAGTATGAGCATTTTTGAGTCAATAAACTACTCTATATAATAATAATAAATGGCATTATATGTGTATCAAAACCCATAGGACTATACAACAAAGCAATTGGGTTACCAATAATACACCAACATCCCTTGTAACAAGTGTAGCATACCAGGAGACATTGTGTAAGGTGGCAGCAGGAGGATATAGGAACACTATAATTTCTGTGCAAATTTTGTGTAAACCTAGAAGCTAAAACTCGCTGTTTTTAAAGTCTGTGTCTAAATCTCACTTCATAGAACATGTCCAGGCACAAGTGGTACTATTGTTGATGCTATTATCAACACCTGACAAGACAGTCTACCTTTGAGCACTTTACAATACTGATCAAATCTTAGAAGTCTCTGGGTGTTAGTGGTGCACGCCTTTAATCTCAGCACTTGTGGAGTGGGGGTGGGAAGGCAGGCAGATCTCTGTGAGTTCGAGGTCAGCCTAGTCTACAGAGCTAGTTCCAGGACAGGTTCCAAATCAATACAGAGAAACCCTGTCTTGAAAAACAGAAAACAAAAATATATCTTAGAAGTCAAGGGTCCAGGTCACTAACTCAATTGCAAATGACCCGCATGCAATTGTACCACCCACTGTGGAGAAGCAGAACTAACAATAAAAGAGGAAGGATGGGATTGTGCAGCAAGTATCTTGGTGGCAGTTGGGCAAGGCAACAAACATCTCTGCAGGGGCGGAGTGGAAGGAGGAGCATCTCTGAGGGCAAACACTTGCCAGGGCCAGGTGGTCCAGCAGCAGAGGCTGCAGGGCAGGTGAACAGAAGAAGAGTCAGTGAAGGCAGCCCTTGACTGGGCATGCTAACACTCACCTGAATGCCTCGGAAGACGCCATGGGTGTGTATTCTGTACTGGGCACCACAGAGGATGGGGGTTGTGTGGTTCTCACTCTCATACCCTGTGCCGTGGCTGCAAACAAAAGGGGAAGTTGGTTCAGGGCCACCTTTTGGAAATACCGAGTCTTACCTTCTTCCATGGGGTCACTCTGGAACGGAGTTTTCGGTGAAAACAGAAGCTATTCCATCGATGTGTTACCACCTTGCAGCTAACCACAACCCCCAAAAGTCACCCCCAGAGGCAAATTGTCTGGGTCTGTGCTTCATTCGAACAAGCCAAGGAAAGCCACAGTGGCAGGAGCTTGTCCAGGGCAAGTTGTTTACCATCTGAGCAGCAGGCTGACAGTGTGAGCATCTCAGGAATGAGCAGAATGCTCCAGGCTGCATGTGAAGTCCACTGGGGTTCTGTCAGCACCTCATGACTCAGTTCTTACCAGATAGCACCAAGAAAGTGATGACATTTACAAGAAGAGATGTCACGTCCTCAGAAGGGGGTGGGGGTGGGTGCACGTCTGTGGCTCCGCTTAGTACACTGATCAGTTTTCCAGATCAAGTTAACAGTGTGTGTGTGTGTGTGTGTGTGTGTGCATGCGCGCGCGCGCAACCGCGCATGCACATACACACACATGCAAGCAGCTTCATGTACAGTATATGTGAATGTGCATTTGGAGGACTTGACTAGACAGACATCCTGTGTCTTCTTTGGTCTCTCTCCACCTTATTTTTTTAAGGACAGGGTGTCTCACTGAACCTAGAGCTCACCAGTTCAGCTAGGCTGGCTGCACTGCAACCCCCAGGGATCCCCGTCTCCACTTCTCTGGTGCTGAGATTACAGGCACACCTGGATTTTTTACATGAGTCCTGGAGGGTTGAACTGAAGTCCTCATGTTTGCTGACAAGTACTTTACTGACTGAGCCATCTCCCCACCCCCAACTTTGAGGGCATCAATGAGTGCTGGACGATTGTCCACCCATCATTCCAGACTGACTCACCTCCTAGAGAAATGCATTGCTCGAGGTAACTTGGGACCTCAAGTAAGGCCTGAGGGATGTGGGGCCTCAGAAAGAATAACCTGAAAAGCCAGAATGTTCTGCTCTGAAAAGACTCTGCCCTTCAGGTACAGTCTTGGAATTGTTTTCTACAGTGATTTTATTTCCATCCAGACAGCACAAAAATTCTAGCCCACATTGGCAATATATCAGAATTATATTGAAAGTCACTGTGGGGGTGGTGATGAATCAGATTTCCTGCACATCCCTGTGAAAGGAGACAGCTACTTCAAAAATACCTAGAAGCCCCTGTACACACATACACACACATACAAAAAAAAAACCAAAAACACTTGCATATACTGCTCTCCAGAAACATTCTTTATTCTCAAAAGCCAGAAATTAGAAAATTAGAATCAACTCACCAATCTCACCAATCAAATGTTAGAATAAATAATGAAGTATATTCACATAGTGGAATGCTATTTGGCAAAAGAGGAGTACGGTATTTATATGGTATAGTGAGTTTAAGAACAAAGGCACAGAAGACAACATGCTGCACAATTCCATTTACACAAAATGCCCAGAGTAAGCCAATGGTTAGAAAGTAGCTTAGCGGTTGGTTGCCTGGGACAAATTGAGGTGGGGAAAACATGGGAGTGATTACTGAAAATGTCCTAGCTATGTAGGAATGGCAAGTCTGTAACTTTTTTAGAAACCATTGCATGCTCCGCTCTAAGTGGGGGAATTGTATGGCACATAAAATCAATAAAACTCCTTTGAAGCGTTTCATAGCAAGCTGAGCATGGCAGTGCACACCTATAATCCCATCACTTGGGAAATGGAGACCGAAAGATCGGTAGTTTGAGACTAGCCTGGGCTCCATGAGACCTTTCCCCAAACAAACACACAAAATAGTAACAATAATAAACTTTGTAGTAGCATAGTTAAAAGCCTCCCAGTAAAATTAACTGACTATTGTGCTGAGAACCTAACCCTCTGCCTCTGCCACTCCAGCATCATGGATACCAGCCTAAAGACAGGTGACCTAGTCTATCAGCCCACTCTGTCTGATGGACTTGGGGAAGGCCTAGGGCTGACTCATTCCTAACTCCCCAGGGAAAGAATTCCTGGAAGAGAGAAGTGTCTGCCAGGAAGGCTGTAGTGTCCACACAGCCCAGGGCCACAGCAGCTGTAGGGTTTCACATTGAGTTCTGGCTCACACATTTTAGAAAGAAAGGTCTGTCTTCTTTGGACAGTTTGGGGAGGGAGGTGACTGTTCTGTTCCCCTAGCCTACTGCACCATGTCTGTATATCCCGAGTCAAGTGATGTGACGTATCTTGGCAAGGGACGGGGAGCTTCAGAGAGCTAACCCAGGGTCAAACATGCAAAAGTTGGGAAGAAATGCCAAACTCCGACATCTGCCTTTCTGGCCCTCAGAATGTGCTCAATAGGAAAGCTGACTGTTCAAAGCACTGGGAGAGGAAGGGTGGATGCAATGACTCTGCTGTGGCACAAAGAGGACAAGGCCCAGATGGGCAACAGGACACTATACCTCAACAGCCTGGAGATGCTTGCTTTACTTGGCTTAACCACCTACATGGAGCCAAACTGTGACTTGCACATTTTCTTTAAAAAAAAATAATTTATTTAAATTTATTTTATGTGCATTGGTGTAAAGGTGTCAGAGCTTCTGGAACTGGAGTTACAGACAGTAGGGAGTGGCCATGTAGGTGCTGGGAATTGAACCTGGGTCATCTGGAAGAGTAGCTAGTGCTCTTAACTGCTGAGCATTCTCTACAGCCCCTGCTTGCATATTTTCTTGAGCTGAGAGACATATATGTAAGACTCTGAATTACTCTGGAGCTCTGGTATGGGTGGGAGAGGAGGATTAACAATCTGTACTGACAGCTGTTCTCTGGGCATCAGCTGAGTTTCTCGAAGGTGGAAACAGGGGAGCATGTAAAACAGATTCTCATCAAGATTCTTGTCCCATGACAGAAAGTGTCATGTTCCTCAAGGGAACAACATTGAGCATCGATCCTCAGAGCCTCGTGCATGCCAGTAAACAAAAGAAGCCACTAGAAACAAGATCATACCTGCCCCTACCACTCAGCTCTTCTACCAAATCTGTGAATAAGAAAAACAGTTGGTTCCTGCCAATTTATTTTGTGTTCCCATGAGACAAATACTCATGCCATCCGACCAGCTTGCTTCCCAGTGTGACTGAGGAAAGAGCTCAGTCAGCAAAGTGTATGTCATGCAAGCATGAGACACCATGTTCAATCCCCCAAAGCCATGGAAAATTCTAGACATGGTGATATATGCTTGTAAGACCAGCCTGGGGAGGTAAAGAGAGATACATCTCAGGAGCACACTGGCCAGACTGTCTAGCCTAATCAGCAAACTCCAAGCCAATGAAGAGATCCTGTCTCAATAAACAATGTAGATGGTTCTCCAGGAATAACTCTGATGTTCTCTGGCCGCTGTGACCATATATCTGCACTCCAAATGGATATTCATAAGCACATATGCACACAAGAGGTGCCCTCAATAGCTGGTGATATATATTATACCTTATAAAATATATGACAAATATTTCTCACTGATATGAGGTAATGATATTCCAGAAGATCTCTCTATGATACAACTTGAAAGAAGCCATTATAGGAAAGTAATTTTCATGTGGATAGGGCCCTGGTGAAGATTGTCCTTGAGGAAGGTTATATGTAAAATAATCACAAAAAAACCTGGAGACAGAAGGTATTATTTACAGAGCTGAGACTAGAAAGCTGATTCTAGAGCAAAGTGTGGACCCCCAGCATGACAAATCATAACCAAGGGTCTCCTTCTTCAGGGTGGAAAAGGATGCAATAGCTTCCCCCACTGCTAACCCAACCAATGATCAACAATCTATGGAGCATTTAGCCCCTCTCTATCATGCCCACAGAACTTCTAAAAGAATTGCCCAAATATCTCTTTGTAATACAGATTCATCATCAACTACCTTCAACTCTCAGAACGATAATCCTACCACATAAAGGAATGGACTCGGCCTTGTGTCTTGTACATGACTAAGCAATTTTGGTTCTCTGTTTTTCTTCCTCGAAATCTCTTAAAGATCCAGCTTAAAATCTCTCTTACTGTTCCAAGGTTTCCAAAATGCAATGGCTTTTTTTCCTACTTGAAATTAAAGGCACTTACCTATCTCAACTCTTCTATCATCTCTCTTATGCTCTGAATTTACAAAGAGTATTGAACAAGTGGACAATCGTTCGTTTTTGGGTTTTTGTTTTGTTTGTTTGTTTGCTTGCTTGTTTGTTTTTGCCTAAAGCAGAGCCATAACCTCAAATATCCCTAATGGGTTCAAGTAAATTAGTAGAAGTAAATCATGAAGACCCTGAGGAACCAATGACACTCTAGCATAGAGCAACCCCTGAAACATTGCCTGTGTGTTACATCCCTGCTGACCTACCACTGGCCCCATGAACCTAATGTGGGCATCTCTTCCCATTCTTGAAGGACTTCTCCAAGATTTCATGAGTTTTGCATCCTTACAAATAATTTCACTTTTAAAACCTATATCTGACCTAAGAGCTATCAGTTTGCATGCTCTACTTCCAAGGCTGAGCATTAAAACATAAATTATCAACCAAACAAATTCCTGTCTTGATTCTACTGCGTTCTCCTGCATGTTAATTAAATAGAAGTAGAGACGTGTCTGGTGCTTTGGAAACTGGGTACCAGTCTCTTCCAATCACTGAAAACTGGAAAGAATGCTTGTGTGTGTGTGTGTGTGTGTGTGTGTGTGTGTGTGTGTGTGCGCGCGCGCGCACTATATGAATGACTGGTGCCCATGAAGGTAAGAAGACCATGGGACAGATCCCATGGAACTTGAGTTACAGATGTCTGTGAGCAATGTGTAGGTGCTGAAACCAAATTCCAGTCCTCTGTGAGAGCAACAAATGATCTTAACTAGCAGACCATCTCTCCAGCCCCCATGGGTGTTGTACTTACACCACAGCAATGACAATTGCTATTATTGGCAGAATCTAGTTTTCAGAGGTAGGTGACAGATCTTA